TTGTTCCTCTATTTTGTAATCAATTGAAATTGATTGATTTTAACGAAAAGCGAACGGAATGGATGAAAAGTGAGCGAAAAAAGGAATGGAATTTGTAAATTGATTGAAAACGCAACAATAACAAAAACAACAACAGAAGTTGATCAAACAGTAATTACGAATTACGTCAGAAAAGCTAAAATCCCTCAGGAGCGAGAGAGAGAGAGCAATTACGGAGCCAAAGAGAGAGAAAGAGTGGGCTGTACTTTGCCCAGCAATAGATTTTGTTTGTGGCTCTGATTGCATCCCATGCCTCATTCCCAAGTCAATTCCCGACAATTATGAAAGTTCTTTTGAACGCGAGTTTATTTTTGTTCTATTTTCACCCGTTCCATGCCTCTCCTTCTGGTTTTCTTTGCTCACCTTTTCCCTCATTTGTCAATCAATTTGCATAGCCTTTCTAGAAAGAGTCGTATACTTTTAGACAAAAGATATACAAAGAACAGAGCTGGATTTGTCTCAAAATTGATAGCATTTTATAGATATTTAAAGCTCTAAAGGGATCCAATAGTGTTATTAGAGGGTATACAAAGTGCGGTATTTTGTATGTATTTTTGCTGAGCAAATTATGCCTCCCACTCCCCTCTCCTTTTCCCCTCCCCTCCCACCTTTTCATTTTGCTTCGTTTACCTTTGTTTTCGGTGTTTTTAGCATTTGCTTTTACTTTTGCTTTCGGCGGCACGCTTCATTACATTTCTGTGTGTGTGTGTTCGCATTTGCATTTCGCGTAATATTCCACTTCCAACTGACATTTCCACACTCGAATGACTGGGAATGACAGCAGGTCTCTTCCTGACCTCTGACCTGTCTCTTTGCTGCGTTCTTTGAGTGGTTCCGCTTACCGTTGCGCAATCCTTAAACTGCAGCAAAACCAAAAGCTCGCAACATGTGGCTGACGTTAACCGACAGATTGACGTACATAAGTGAGTGGTGGGTAGGCAGCGGGGTGGCCTGGTTGTAGGGTGAAAGAAGGTCGAGAGAGCGATGGGTACCATTAGCCAGGTAGTCACTTGTTTAGTCGATAGCACAGTGATTGATGCGATTTGCGGTGGAGAAAGAATGAAATTGTTTCTTGATTTCATTGATTTTTCCGATTGCCTAAAATAGAACGGAGAGGGGGCAGCACTCGAGATGGTCGAAATTCCCGAGGAAGTACATAAATTTAACACACTATCTATCGTATCAGTGTTCACGTTGATCGTTCTCCCCATATCTTATCAGTCAGTGTGATTAATTGTCGTTCAATTACGATTTTATAAATAGCACATAAATATACACGATATCCATTAGAGGTACGTGCTGTTCGTTGGGTTCCCTTGGCACTGGGGAAGTTCCATTCTTTATTTCACCGTTTTTAATGGAATTGTTCATTCGGAAATGAATGATGACCGAACGAGCTATAGTCGGGAAGCAGATAAGGCTCTTTAAGAAGGTTCTTCACGTTCTTTCCTCACACTCCTCAAATCAGTTTCGATCCCATTCCTAAGATTGAAATGTTCCTTACAGATTGCTTTAATCAGAAGTCTAGACCAGATACCTTTAACAGTAGACCTTAGACAACTAAATGCTTTGTAGTTTACTCTAGACTCTAAAATGGTTATTAGTTAAAAGAAAGAGCGCTGAACAGATACAAAATGTATAATTAAGCACTTTCCCAGACAAACTATAGGGAAATCAATAAAGCTAAGTATGTAGCGGAAAATACCCGTAAACACTCATTAGTGCTCTGTCAACTGCTCGGTTACCAAATTCCCGAGCTCCCAAGCCCCCGAGGCACTCAAATTGATGAAATGTCAACATGGCTACGGCTACGGCTAAGGCTAGCGCTGGGGCTAGTCGTGTTTACGAGTCTAGAGAGCCCCATTTCGAGAGACCTTCCTAAAAGCTAGCGTCATATCAAAATTGTTGATACAATTTAGGCGAAAACTGAAACTGCTAACCCAATCCGACCCACTCTGATAGGGAGAGCCGTAGAATAATAGAGAGTAATGTGGATTCGTGCGGATCAAGAGCGTGATATCTTGGGCTGTATGTATCTTGGGTTGCGTTGCAGTCAGTCACCGGTTTGCTACCGGTTCGAGCCGGTCCCGGGCGGCGCTAGGCGGTCTGTGGCTGTTTTGGATGTTACCAGGTAGATCCGAGTGGAGCTCTTATCAACATAATACTCGTACTTGTAGCCGGTGAAAATGACTTTTCAATATTTGTACGACGTTTAATAGCCTCATCACCCGTGTACTCCCACCATTCTCCGAGATCCAAATGCCGACGAGTGCCGTTTTCGCACGGGCTTGTTAAAATGCGCAAATCTCACCTCTCGGGCATTGCGAGGGATCGCGCATATGCCGCGTGGTCCATTTTTAGCATCTCCGTGAGACGGAGACGGCTTCCCCTGTGCTGTGTGGCCTGTTGTTAAGCAGTCAACCCCCCACTCGACAAAAGCCCCATAAATCCCATGCCATTGTGCCCCTGACTTTGTTTTCGTTCCGTTTTTGCATGTAAACATTTTGGCTTCAGCGCGTGGCTGGTACTCCACCATTTATTGTGTCAATTATGCGACCTTCTTCGCTTTTGGAATAGGATTCAGTGCCGGAATGTGGAAGCGGGATAGGCTTGCATATCTATCAGATTCCGTACTTAATTTTGACCAGAACTTCTCCTAGTGAAAGTGGATAATACACGAGAGAGGAACCCATTCGAAAGCTCTCTCAGGTCAAGAGTCGATTGCTTTAACCAGAATTGTAATTCCTAATTCCTCTATGGTTGTGTCCATAAATACTTCATGACGACAGATTCTTATCGATTATTCCCCGTCCCATTGGTTTTTGTGGGAAAACATGGCCTATTAGATATCTTTATCTGAAAACAAAAGCACATTTCTGTGACAATTCATTCGGCAGCTGCTGTCCGCCACAAATGCCAGATGATTGGCCAAGTGGTAATGCTTTTTTGCGGTTCACTCGGTGGCTTTTAGTGGCTTGCGGGCCCCAGTACTTTCGATTCCTATCCGATATGATCTTTTGTGGGACTGAGTCATGTACTTCCATATGGAAGTACACAATTCTCCGTACACAATTTTTATTGCATAAACAATTGGATGAGAAAGGCAGCCACAATGATGACAATCATATCGTACGTACGATAGTCTGGCCCATATGACGATGAAGCGTAGATTTATGGCATTCCAATAACCACCCACGCACCACAGCTATGTTCCTACGTCATAAGGTGAATTAATAATATCTGCATTTGTTTCGAATATTTACTGAAGAGAAAACACACGAAATTATCTGGGAATAATGTATACCTTCAAGAAGAAATCCTTTTAAATATTCCATTAAACCTCAAAATGTGTCAATGAAATTCTTTGATAATTTTATAATTCAAAGAAGAGACCAATTTATAGACATTCTTCCGTTAAGTTTGCAGAAATCGATTGCAGTCCCATTCATTATCCATTGCGGTGCCATTAGACGGGGGACTGGGGCTTTAAACCTGTCGCTGTCTGCGCCAAAAAATTCCTCGAACAAATTCCCCTTTCCGTTGTCTAATTAATTTGATAACAACTAATTCCAGTTGAAAATACCTTGCACGCGCCGCCTCCACAACAGAGACGGAGAGGAGGGTGGGAGTCCTTCCAAGCCGATGTTTGCTTTGCCGTAAGCTTTCGATCACGCTCTCCATTGACGTCACTAGAGGGCGCGAGGGCTTCAATTGGTTTGTGGCGTTCTGGCTGACGAAAGAGTTGATTGACTCACGCACAGACTCCAGGGGAGCTGCTCTCTGTTCGTCTGAAATTCGGTTAACCTAGAAGAGAGAGAGATGACTCAGTTGTTTTCACAGGCAGACGCAGGCAGAGAGAGAGGCCAGACAGTAAGTGTTCCAGGCGCTGCTGCGCTGCGCTGCTCTGCTGCAGTTCTGCTTTTGCCTCTGCTCTGCTGCTGCATTGATCTGCCGTGACATTGCACTTGAAATTTATTCTTGAACAAGTATTTGTGTATGTACACACCGTTGACACTTTTATTTCGGTTGTTTTCGTTTTGTTTGCTGAAGTGCCGTTACCTGTACGTAGAGCTTTAACGAGTGCCAAAATGCCAATCGATCAATCGATAATAGCGCTTGAGCCGCATCGGCTGTTTGCTCTGTCGGTGCACACGGGGGAGTAAACAAGTGAATAAATTAATTCATTTCATTAATATGACCATAAAGTGTGGAGCTCCTGCTAATTTTGTGCGCCCCAAGTGCCAGATTTATTTTTAAACTCTCAAACAAACACAAACACACATACAGAGAAGCCCCCTATTGTCTGCCTCTGTCTAGTGTCTGCAGCGGAAGAGAGTACCGGTAAGAAAAGCACACAAAAGTTGTATTGAATACAAGGTGAGATGATTCGCCGCTCTCTCTGTGCTCTGCGTGTGAATGCGCTGCAACTATACAAGTAGGCGACTACCGTGAGAGAGCTTTAAAAGAATATCTCACCTTGTATTGATACGTCTTGCTTGGACAAATTCTGCTCTGTTTGCATTTCATTTTCGCACCTTCTATCTCTCTCTCCTGCTCACCCCCACAGCAGGCGCTGCAGCGATCGACAATAACATTGGCCATGCGCAGGCGCGCTCTCTCCCTCCCGTTCTCCCAAGTTATCGCTCTGCCACTGCTGCCGTTGCTCGGCTCTCGAGATTTTCGCATATAATTCCCGAGGTCGGGGCTGAAATCAATTTAATAGTAATTCGGTGCGCCCAGAGAAAGCAACGGCAAACGGTTCTCTCCTCCTCCTCCTCCTTCTCCACCGTGCGGTCGGCAGCGGCAACGTCCAAAGCCAAAAGCCCAAAAGAAATATAATTAATATATGTGAAATATCGAAAGAAAATCTTGTAAAAACAAACACGATCCAGAGACATGTAGTCTGTTTTAAACATAAAGAAGAAGACAATACTGTGTTTTACCAAAAAAAAAAAAAAAAAAGGACCGGGAAAGGAAATATTCAATTAAATTCAATTGAAATTTATTGAGCGTAATTCAAGCGATGACATTTTTATTACATTTATAAGATTATACCGACCAAAGTATATTCAAATCAAGCGATTGAACGTGATCGAGGCGCCTCGAGTGCAATAATTCTTGTGATAATCCCAGACCCACCGCTAGACTGATTCCCATAGAGATTAGGCAACCAACCAACCTACATATACAAATACAATATATTATTATTAAACCATACCAAAATGACGCCCAAAATTATTACATATTTTTTGGTAAATATACAAAATAATATATTCCTCTTTTATAATACTTTAAGAATTTTTTTGGTAATCCAAAATGTGCCTAAATTATTTAATTAATTCATTCAAATGTCAAATGTCGTTAAGTATTTTTACATTCAAATTGTTGAATAACTATTTGATTGAATTTATCTTCAATTAGTCAACATTCAATATTGATCCAATTTATTATTTCATCATTTGATTACACAAGTCGCAAAGAAACTTTGATTTTTCTTTGGTTACTTAAGGAAACCTGACTTTTTCCGACCAAAGTCTATGAATTATTTATGGGGATCGTGTGTGACTTATATAACAGTCATCTGGAAACTGAAAACTAGAAAGATTTTCTTCAATCGACGAAGCCCAGTTCAAGGGGTTCGAGGCAGCACTTGATGATGGGTCGTGACGGGGCACAAAATAAATGTTTTAACAAAACATTACTCATACGACACGTAGTGCCAGACCTTTATTAACTCACTTAATGGAAAGAGGGTTGTGGATAGTATGACATTTGAGAAACTGTTTAATTATTTACCTCTTTAGTTCTTTATATAATAATTTTACTCACCATTTCCCTCTCTCTTCCCCCTTTGCAGTGCGGCATGCGCCATCCCACAACTGGGCTGAACGAAGACGACCTGAGTCGTCTCACCGGTTCATCATCGTCTACCGCCTCGTGCGGCAGTGCAGTCTCAGATTCATCTTCATCATCGTCAGCCTCCTCGTCATCGTCCGCACCCAAGGCGGCCCCCACCCAGTGCCATGAGGCAGCAGTCGCTGTACGCCAGCAGAAGAGTCCCGAAAGGACCAAGGTTTCTTTGGCGTCGGATGCCAAGAAACATCTAAACAGCGCCGCCCCACAGCCAAAGTTCAACTCTACTTATCTCCCTGAGATCATCAATCCGCTGGAATGGCAGAAGTCATCCCGCAAGCGCAAGGAGCGCCTCGACAGCAGCTCTGTCTTTGGACAGGACCGCAAACTGCAGCGCAGCAACAGCGAGGAGCTTCTCACGGATCCAGCACAGGGCCACGCACCCAGCGACCCCAAGACAGCGGCCGCCCACCTGCTGGAGGCCCAATGCGAGGTCATTCGTCGCGTCTCGTCGGAGGACTTTGAGCGCACCGCCAGCTACGCCAACTACTGTCTGGAGTTTGAGCGCGAACAGCAGTCCCAGGGCCAGTCCCAGCCACAGGAGCCGGAGGGCGGCGAGAACAACGCATCGCTGGCCAATCTCTCGATTGAGGTCCAGATCGTTCAGGGCTCCAAGGAGCGTCCACGCTCGGAGACCAGTCCTGCCCGCCAGCAGCGGGAGGCCAGTGACGACAGCGAGTGCGAGCACGAGCGCCGAAGGAGCAGTGAACGCTTCTGTAAGTCCCGTCTGCCACCAGGCCGCAAGTCCGGCGTCACCAAGAAGGGCAGCGGTAGCGGAGGAGTCGGAGGCAAGTATCTGCCCTCCAGGCGGGACGAGCAGAGCGCCTATAAGTACGACTTGTCCGCCCTGAAGTACGAGCGTCGCGGTTTCATCAGCAGCAGGAAGCAGCAGTCGCAACAGCAGCAGTCCAACTCGTCTTCCTCCGCTTCCGATCACAACGACAACAATCTGATCGACTTCCACCAGCAACAGCTCCAGCAGCAACCTTCGAAGAGAAGCTCCAACATCTCGCCCACACCCACAACGAGCTCCTCGGCGGGCAGCGACGACACCACGCCCACACCCGTCAAGGCCAAGCCGCCGCAGCACCAACAGCAGCAGAACCCGGACCTCACCTCGGCCCAGGAATCGTTGCCGTGGGAGCGTGGGGATGAGCCCGCCCCCGTGCTAAGCCGACGCTACGCTCACTCCCGACCCCACGTCGGCGGCAACATCGATGCAGCCGCCCAACTGGCCAAGGTGATGCCCTATCCGCAAGCGCTGCCCAAGCAAGCAACCAGCGTGCAGTTGCATGGCTGCGAGGATATGGACTGCCTGGAGACGATGGACGCGGTGCGCGCTTTCAGTTCGCTGGAGAACATGCGCACCCGCGACGTGATGCAGCAGGTGCTCCCCGCCATGATGGTGGCCTTCCAGACGCCGGAGGAGCGCCTCAAGTCCATCGGCCGACGGGTCACCGTGCTCAAGAAGAAGCTCGTCCAGTTGGAGGACGCACTCGAGCAGCGGCTCGGCTATCGCCCCTCGCAGGCAGAGCGCCTCAACGACAAGTACGTGAAGAACGCCTTGGCCGAGTTGAGCAAGCTGCGGAAGGAGCGACACGAGCTCAAGACTGATCCCATTGCTGCCCTCAGCCTCAAGCTGGGCGGAGGTGGCGGTGCCGGCGGCTCCGGGTGCCAGGAGGCGGCCAAGAAGCTGGAGCGCATGAAGGCCACCCTCGCTGAAATCGAGCAGGTACGGATCACTCTCTCTTAGATCATCCTCCATCGACGATCCCCATCTCTTTCGCGCACTCTTGTCACGAGACAGACGCAGATTTTAATGGCAATTAACAAGTGGAGCAGACGTCAGAGAGCCACAGATCCACGATTGTTGTATGTGGATTGTCTCGAGAGCAGCCGTCGCAGCAGCGGCATCAGCAGCCAGTGACATGCTTAGCAATTTGGCAATAACTTTGATCTTGCCTCATTGTCAGAGCAGCACGGGAAAACAGCAAAACAAAACGAAATTTTCCGCTCAAACACAAACAAATTCGTCTGGGGAGGAAAAAAACGAATTTCGGCGGTTGATCGACGTGTTTATGCCGTGACAAGAGTGCTTTTAAATGGGGTTTTTATTTATTATCGAAAGTACTTTGCTATGCAGAAAGATTGTATTTCAGTATCATGATAGAAATCAATCGAAATAGATGTATCATTATCCAAAGTATAGCCACAATATCATATGTCTATTCATAGAGATTATGACATTTCATTATTATTTAATTTGAATCTTTTTATAATTTTATACTGGATCCTCGGTAGAGAGCTTTTTTGAAAAAGAAAATTGTTCATTTACAATGTTTCATCGCACATCCCCAAGTGGTAGGGTATGGCTTCTAGAACCCGCACAAATGTATTTTATCCAATTTGGGGAGGCTTCTTTTATATAAGTGTTTTATGAGATTTCTATTTATATTCCAATAGCAGAGCACAGACACACAAATATGAATGTGTTTACGGCATTTGGGTAGGACAGGCCTCCTTCTTCTGCGCTGCTTTCTCGATTGACAAATTAATGATACGTTAGTCATGGTGGGCCGAAAGGAATCCGCTCGAAATTGAGTTTGTGCCAAGAATGATTGGACGTATGGAAGGTTAGGGGTGGAGGATAGGATAGTATAGGAGGATATGTATGTGGATTGGTTATGGCTAGATGGTTAGAGCAGCCACAAAAGTGCCTTTCCGCCCAGACAGAGGCATATTGTGCATATAATGCAATGTTTTCTCTGCTCTTGCGACTGTTTACGAAAGTTCTACACTTATTTCTATTTCTGTTTTGGGCCTTTTGGCGTCTCGCGCGGATTGTTGTCTGTTTGTCATGAGACCCAATGAAATAATGCCCCATGCAGTGGCGCTGATAGATTGTGTTGTTTACGTCCCGCTTTGGGGCTTTTATCAGTTTTTTGCTTTTTGGGGGCTTCTGTGGCTTTGAAGTGTCATTTTCATATTGATTTCATTGATCCAATGATCACCTTTGCACTGTACTCACCCTCGTCTTTCCATTGCAGAATCTCAACGAGAAGCGCACCAATGGCCACCGCTCCGGGCAGCTGGAGGAACTGACCGCTGATCAACTGGTGCAGGAAAAGACCGCCGTCCAGCATGGTCTGCTGTATTTTGAGAATCTCTACGGCCATCCCATAAACAAGGAAGAGCGCGATGCGGCCCGGCCCCTGTACGATCGTTACCGTCAGCTAAAGCGTCTGGTTGCCCGCACTGTTATGTTCGGAACTGGCACTGGGGTGCCGGAGCTGCCCACCATCCTGGAGCACGAGGCTATGGTCTTCGAGTCGACCTCCACACCACTGCAGTATTCATCGAACAACAGCACAGAGACCACCAACTCACCCAGCGACTCGATGGCGCCAAATACCCTCACGCAGAACGCTTCCTCTGATGAGTCGACCACCACCACCACGGGTCCAGCAGCGCCAGCGCCAGCGACGGCGGCTGGATCGACGGAGTCTTCCAGCGAGAACATATCCGCACTGAGCCTGGACCAGCTGTGGGAGCAGCTGGAGCGGGTGCGCGACGAGAAGGCCGTGCTGAAGGCCACCATACGCGAGTACGAGTCGCTGTTCGAGGAGCAGAACGGCCGCAAGATGCTGAAGCAGGATCGAAGGTCCCTTGAGACGGAGACCTACGCCCAGTACAAAGAGAAGAAGGGCAAGGTCCGACTGCTGCAGGCCCTGATCAAGAAGCACATTGGCCACTAGCCTTGAGCCTCAATCTATCAGTCTTTCGATCAACATCTATTCACCTGCATGCGATAATTATTTATTTCATACCCACAAAAACCAAATGCAAAAAAACATACCTATATACTCGGTTGGATGTGTGTATGCATATCCCAATACCCGCCCCCTACCCCATACATTTATACAGATATTATTATAGATGTGTAGTTTTTAGATTTACATTTTACCATATATTCTATAATGATACATTTTATGAATATTGTTGATTCCTTATTGTTTTTTGAAAACACCTATGAATAATACGAATAAAAAGAAGAGAAATGTTACAGAAATCGACGACTGGCGGAGAAGGCTTACCTAACCGAAAGACATTTGATTGGGACTCTCTCGTCCGTATGTAGTATATCCTTGAAACTTCCACTCGGAATTTACACCTCTCACTCATCTTCTTTCTGTTAGTCATCGTTGATGCTAAAAAATGTGTTAGATTTCCATTTTCCATTGATTCGAACATAAATTCATCTCTCTCGGGATACTCCCGACTTTGCTTTAGTTTCTAATGATTTAGATTTAGTGAGGCAGAGGTAAAAGCAGAACAAACTCTTTATAAATGTTGTCTGGTAGTATGAAATATCTTATATCGATATCTAAACTAGTGCCATTTATAGAACAGCACTACCCCCAGCCCCTACCCTACCTATACTAGCTGTGCGTTGAATCAAAAGCTTCCTCTGGCATTTGACGTTGGCAGTTTCGTTGACATCAGAAGCGGAAACGGAAGTCGAGCCGAGTCGAGTTTGTATCGAGTGCAGGCCAAGTGCCTGGGAAATTGATTTGCTTTGTTGAGTTTTTTGAACGTGTATCGTAACCCTTCTGAATATATTTACAAATACATAAAGCCCCAACCCTTACATATGTAACAACGTACGCATATATGTATGTATATTTACATACCATATATGTATGAATATTGAATACAAAAGTATATATTGTACTGTACTGTACTGTACGCATATGTACCACTTATATAAAGGTCAACATTTACAAATGGAATATTCTTATGTGTAGCCCACACGATTGGGTCTAATCGAAAGAAGGAAGCAATTTTTGTAGCATTAAACGTATGTATCTCCTTCGACAACTGAACAGATTGAATGTCTATACATAATATGCAAAATAAAATATATCACGTTATATTACAAGTAAAACTTTTGTTTTTATTCATCAATTAGGAATAACATTCACGGAATAATTGTGGTAGTTTTTAGTCAGTCGATGTTCTCCAGAATTCTGCCACTGGCTACAATAAAAGGATAAGATACGAATCAGTTACTGATTGCGAATGAATCACATTGAGCGGAGGGGGTGGATGGGTGTGCTTGGGGATCAGTCAAGTGTGTATTCGACATAAACATTCAGGTATATGCTTGTCAAGGTATTCGTCATGAAATGGAATCAGCGGAGGGTCAACAAATTAAATATTACGTACCATTAGCTCACAAGAGGGCCATGCCACAATCCATGCATCAATGGTTCAAACTGGAAATGTAAAAAAAAACAATAACATAAGTACGTATTGAAGAGCATAATTCAACAATGGATGGGTAAAAATTGAAAATATCAGCTAAATAAACCAATCGACATCATTTCTCCGACTGGGGCGGTATCTAAAAACATCACATGAGTGCCCTACTTTTACTTTTCCCTACAGAACTTAAGCAAGATGAAACCTACCTCAAATTAAATTGGTTTCCTCCAGAATCTTCCCAAAATAAAGCCTGTAAATGTAAATAAGAATAGCATTAATACAAATTCTTCTCAATATTTAACATAATAATATATAATGTTAGATATAGGAACTATCAGCTAAATAAACCAATCGACATAATTTCTCCGACTGGGGCGGTATCTAAGAACATCATGAGAGTGTCCTACTTTTTACTACATTTAAAACATTAAATAAGTGGGGAAAGCTTACCATTCATTCATTCAAAATAGTAATTTTGATTCCTGTAGATGAAGGCCGCATGCTATTTCTTATCTAAAATGAAATAAACTAATTGTTATTTAAATATTCCACAAAGACCTTGTCTAAATAAAGAAAATAGCTTTGTCAGTTTAGTATATCATCAATTGTTTTTATGACAGGGATAACTGTTTGGCTTTAAAAAGTGCTCATCATAGAGATTTCCTTTATTTAGTGGCACTCATCAGTATTTACTAACCTTAAAAAGCAATCGCCCTGACCTCAATCCGCTACTGGGTCCACAAGGAGTAACTTCTAAAATAAATATACATATTACCGATTAATAAAATTCGAATTTAGTAGTAGTAACTACCATTAGTTTGTTCAATGTAAGGGATTCAGTCGAGTAAATGTTGCAACACACATAAATTCAGTTATATGCTTGTCTATAGGTTTGTCATCAGAGTAAATATATGGTCAAAGGATTATAAATATATATATATACACACCTCATCTCTATGGGACTGTCTGAGCTGAACAACAACCGAACGAAGGAGTAGCCGAGGTTTCTGCAAGATACAATATAATCAAAGTTAATAAATTAATCGAACTTTTAATGAAATAACATGTAGTACATAACAATTTGAGTGTATCAGCAAATATAACCAATCGACATAATTTCTCCGACTGGGGCGGTATTCAAAAACATCATGATCATGATAAAGAACCATTCAGAGATACGAAACTTACCCAATTTTCTTAGGCCACCATCACATCATTATTGGTTGCAACAATTCTGCAAAAAAGAAAATGCGTTTTCAATAGGTATACACACACATCTACATGGAGTATTATTTTAGGCGAATTTCATCAGCTTACTTCATCATCAATTATTCTTATGACAGGGATAACTGTTTGGCTTAAATAAGGTGTTCATCATAAACAGAATAACTGATGGATGCCATGTGCTCTAACTTACCTTAAATCAGGGGCGGGTTTTTTCGTTCCACGATTCGGTAATGGAAGTGGAATCTGTAAGGAAGAGAATGTCGAGTTAACACAAATGGAATTTGTTGAAATACTAGCCAAGACAGTTTGAAAGATCAGCTTAATGCATCATCAATTTATCTTATGACAGGGATAACTGTTTGGCTTAAATAAGGTGTTCATCATTGCCTAAGGGGGTACCTACAGATATGTAAATATTTATACTGATGATTGCTTACCATTTAAAAAGAAGTTGCTCTTCCCAGAATTTCCTCAGGCTGAACCACCTGTAAAGAGCCATACATTAGCATTAGCACATTTTCAAACATTTTTGAGCACTCGAAGTACTTTCTAGAGTCAGTCGTTTGAGAATCAACATAATTATTCGGTTATATGCTTGTCTATTTGGTTTGTCATCACAGAAAGTACATCGGATTGTGCGTAGTGGATGTTTTTATTCACCTTTGATCATGGCTTGCAGACAGTCTTGACATCGCTGTTGCGAGAGTACAGTAGGTGCCACTGAAAACGAACAGAATGAGGTTAAATCCAATCCATGTGCGATTTTTCACGATAGCTAAATTACTGAAGCATCAGTACAAAAATCCAATCGACATTATTCTTCCGACTGGGGCGGTATATATTTAGCATCATAGAAACAAAAACTTCACATCCATTTCCGAACGAAACTAACCTTACTATTGCTCCGGCAACACGTGGGACCACAGCAGCACCAGGCCGGTGGATTCTCCATAATAATCTTGGACAACATTTTAATCAGCATCAAACTGCAGACAATGCAAGCGACCGCTTTCGTTCTGCGTTCTGTAAATGCAATGAGAGATATAACATTTAATTATACTTTCATCAAATTCGAGAAAAAATGCTCATCAGCATGTGGCATTTGTAATCAGAATTTAAAACCAATCAACACGTCTGTTCAGACTGGGGCGGTATACGAAAAACATCATGGAAACACACATTTATTTACACTCTTTTTTCTTTTTCTACAACTTACCATTTGGTTGAAATTATTGCAAATTTACGGAAAAAGTGAACTGCTGATGGCCGGGGGCGGAAATAGAAAGAATATACGTTCTTATCTTATATATGTACTTATATGTATATACGGTCTGTCCCTCAGAAATATACCAAATAATACCATTTCAATTAAAAAATATACCGTAAATATACTGACGAATTGAAGTTCGTTTTACATATTCCTCGTTTTTTATATTCCGTTGAATATTACTAGCTATATAGCACATTTAGCCGTGCCCACATAATTTTATACGATTAATGAATTAATTTTCTAAAAGATTGGATAGTTTTTAGTCCTTGCTTTTATTGTAAAAAAAGGGTTAAACGAAAAAGTTCAACAAAAAAAAGAGTCGCAATGTTGCTGGTATTTGAAGACATGATGCGTGTATAGGCCTTTGTGCACCCTATTTCGCTAATTTTATATGAAGATCAAACGTAATTTATTAAGACCTTTTCTCAAATTGATATGTTTTTGACTAATTCATGTGTATTATTAGTATCTTGTATATATTTATCTCGATCCTGAGCCTTGGAAGACAAACGTATTCACAATTCTGTAACATTCATTTCCCCCAGGGTATGTGTGCATGGAATGGGACTCATTGTTGTGGACCGGTTATCACCGATTCTATCCGATTCAAATAAATACCAAAATATACGGTCTCATTTTCAAAAAGTACTGACGAATTCAAGTTATATTTTCCATATTCCTCGATTTTGATATTCCGTCGAATATTATTAGCTAGATAGAATATTTAGCCATGCCCACATAATTTTATTCGATAGGTGAATCAATTGTTTACAAGACTGTCTGATTTTAAGTACTTCTTTTTTATTGGATTGCTTAAAAAATGTGGTTTAAACAAAAAAGATCCATAACAAATTCCCCAAAATGAATTTTATTACATGGTACTATTTGCCTCCTCAACCTAATTTGACTTAATATAGGTTAAAAAACAGCATATATAAAATATTAAAAGCGTTAAATAAGTGTACAATAATTGTCCACTGACTGTATTACTGATTGTGTCTGCTATGAATGTTTGCCACATTCAACAGGCGCTTATCGCAGATAAATATCGGTTTTTCTTCAACACTGCAAGTATCAACTACATATTGGTTCTAACGAGTTGAAAGAAGAGAATAATTGTGTAGCAGTGGGATTTCACAGAAATATAAATATTTTGCAGTCCAAAAAATATATTATCAACAAAAATATATATCGATATATCGATTATATTTCTGTATATATTCAACATCCCTAATTTCATTTGTTGTTGGTTCGACTGGCTGGTCGTGTTTTTGTGGCGCTACTTTTGCGTAACTGGAACTTTCTGTGAAGCCGCGGTTTTAAACGCTTTGACATGGTGTTGACGAGGGAATATCGCGTGTGCATGCCGCTAACCGTGGAGGAGGTGAGCATATCCATAATTTCCCGCCAGTGACAGAAATCAAATTTATGATTTTATTTCATAATTCTATAGTACAAGATTGGTCAGCTGTATATGATAGCACGCCATAGTCTGGAGCAATCCGAGGAAGGAGAGGGTGTTGAGGTGGTGGAGAACAGACCCTGTGAAGATGCCGTCCATGGCAAGGGCCAGTACACAGAGAAACACATCCACTTGTCGAGGTGAGAATCGCACGATTTGAATAGTTTTTTGGCAGCTAATGAAAGATTCTCCCCCAAAACAGTCGACTGCCTTACTGGGTGCAAGCAATCTGCCCGCGCGTTTTCTATGTGATAGAGAAGTCCTGGAATTACTATCCCTACACACTAACAGGTGAGTGGGACTGGGCGTGCGCATCCATTGGGGTGTCTGTTTTCAAGGCGACAACTCGGGTATCTACCCTTCTCCTCCGAGGAGGCCCCAGCACACGTACCTAGTGTTTATCATTAGCATTGCATTCGATTACTATTTCTGCTGTAGCCATATGGTGACAGCCTTGTCCGTTCTTAGAGCATCATGCGTTGGGCCAAAGCAATTCGGAGATATCAGGGCCGTGTATGTGGGGGGGTTATGTCTACCGATAAAGCCCCCCATAAACTCGTACGCACACTTGTCATGCCACCAATACGTCACCTTTCTAGGCATTCGAGCAGCTGATATCATTTTCATGGTGGCTCCATTTTCATCGGCGACTCGGTTCCAATCAGCGTTTGCCAAATTGTTAGCAAATGTCACAATTCCCATCGCATTCTTCCGCTCTGATAAAATCAGATTACACATGAGTCCCCATGTTCTCTTAGCTCTTAGCTCCCGTGAACTTGTTTGGTTTTTGGTTCGTTGACATCGTGTAAAGTTTATAAAATCAGTTAGGGACAGCATTATGATTCCTATCAAAACATTGCCGAATCAGATTCCTTTATCTATAAACATTTGTATTTTAAGCATGGACACCCATATTTATATCGCTATAAGCACCCGTCGCTATATAATTGGCATTCGATTTGTATTTCAGCTTTGCTGCGGTTTATTTATAAATCGTTTTATCGCTAATTATAGACATTAGACACGCTTGCAATATATTTAGAGTAAATTATTGATTGGTTTTTTGTTTCTCTCATTAAATTTTCATGTGCTATAATGGAACTGTAATTGGTAATGCCACGTACGCCATGTAGAATATACGGTAATTGGACAAAGCTTATTTTTGGTTGTCCTCCGCTGACCAATTATCCCCCTATTTACAGTGCTCCTTCATACCCAAGTTGCATGTCCTCATCAAGACGAAGTATGAGGACAACAATGGCACCACAGAAAACGTGAGAATTTATCCAAATGCTGAAGCAGAACTCTTTAGCAATAACAAAATTACTTGATAGTGTCTGGATCTTACTGAGGAGGAGCTGAAAGTGCGCTCTGTGGATCACCCTGACATAGCTTTCGATGAATTCAACGCCAAGCATTACAAGCGCGAGGAGGATCCCAAGTTTTTCAAATCAGAAAAAACAGGTATAGTGACCCCCGGTTCATAAGACAGATCCCCAAAAAATATCGCTTGTTCCATCTGCAGGTCGCGGACCGCTGATTGAGGGATGGCGGGAAACGGACAAGCCCATCATGTGCTCCTACAAGGTGGTCCATGCCAGCTTCGAGGTCTGGGGTTTGCAGACAAAGGTTGAGGATTTTATACAGCGCGGCATTCGCGACATACTCCTGCTTGGACATCGACAGGCCTTTGCCTGGCTGGACGAATGGCACGGCATGACCCTGGAGGATGTGCGTGACTACGAGCGCAAAAAACAAGCCGAGACCAATGAGAGGGTGCAGGCAGCTGGCGATGCCCCCACCCAGAGTGGTAGTGGCAGCAATGGACGTAATACGCCCACTCAGGATGTTGATTAAGTAAAAGTCAAGAGATTTCAGCTCTTGTGAATGTTATACCAAAATTTAATGTAGACAATTGGCAGGAAGAGTGTACCTGCATAAGAGGCAACTGTTAAACATATGTACCTACAAACATATGTGAATATATATTCATATATACTATCATTGCATTTCACTGGTCCAAAGAGCATTATAGCAAGCGAATACAAGCACAAAACCCGAAAGTCCAAGCCCAAATAGACCCTAATAGATTGTTAATCACCTAGAGAGTTCAGCACTTTGCTAAGCAAATGTTAGCCGCACCTACAGATATATCTATACACATATTGAGCATTATATTCGTGTCTAATGAACGGTTTTTGTTAACTATATATTCCCTAGTTTAGCTCTGATCAATGTGCGATCCATATTTTGATGTACAAATGTATGAAGCATTAATAAAAATGATGTTTCACAAAACAACATACATACGACTGCATGCGTATGAAGCATGTGATTATTAATTACTTTTATCTTCCACATTAGACATTCGATGAGCCAAATCTGTTTGTCGGCAAATGGATGTACAAATTATTGGCTATTTGTATGCCAAAGCCGGCGGCGAGTGGTGAACCAGGTAGTGGATTCGTCACGATGATTCAGTCAACATGTTGCAGGAACAACATTGCATATAATCGAATGCGATCCGATCCGAACAGAACGGAACACCGACCCTGACACTGATCGTAAATCAACGTCACCCCCATCCGAAACAGCTGCTCTATTCGGAACGAGCCCCCAGGCAGTGGCTCTCTCACTTGCTCTCTCTCTGTCTCCTCTCTTTGCTGGACAGCTGTTTTGGGGCTGGAGATCTCTGGCGTCAAAGAGTAATGTGGGGGAAGAGGAAGAACCAACAAAATCACCAGCGATTCGCAAACGCGCCTCATTTGAACTTCAAGCGCGCGAAGAGCAGCACACAGCATAGAACCTACATAGATACTAGAGACACCCGCGGATTGAGTGCCGATTAAACACCGGAACGCTATGCCTGCGGAGCGAAATTAAAACAATACTTAATGATGTACTTTAAATTTCCCCAAAATTTCGCCTACCAACGATTGTGACAATGGAATATTCCGAGTGAAAATATCAGAATTTGCATAAACAATCTTAAAATAGAGTTCCTGTGTTGAAAAGAGATCATGGCACGACGAACTATCCGTGGGTGTATGAACGAAAAGTGGGCTGTGAGCACCCTTTCGGTGCTCTTGATGGTCTCGATGAGGTAAAGCATGCGTTATACCCGGCGTATGCGCAATTTAGTGTCATGTAAGCAAATGTGCGGCTCTTATCAACTGTTTACAGCACGCTGGGGCCTTAACTCGTCTGTGTCTAGGTTGTTTATTAATAAGCACACTAAATCCTATTCTGGGCCACTCCATATGTGGGTTATTGTCCATGTTTAACTGCTTATACGGCCCATTCCATGCAAAGTGACTTATCGTCGCAACCAAATCAAAGCGCTCTTTATTGGATCCTGATTGCGTTTTATGATTAATATAAAGTCTGATTGGTACAAAGTCTACTAAAATTGAATATATACGTTGCCCACTATATGTACTCAAGTTCTCCTTTAATAGAGCTTCTTTTTGTAGTTCTTCTTGTCATCTCTGTTGACACTTTTATATGACCATTTTATATGGGCCATAAATTTCAAAGGTAGCAACTTCTTCAGAATTCCCAGCCACGGCGAGCGTTACGAGTATTCCTCGTTTACTTATCTATCACCCCACACAACGAAGTCTTACCTTACCTTATTTCACGGAAGGGAAATGTGATATTTTTTTATATTCTATTTTGAAATTCTTATCACAAGAAGTTTAGTTTTATTTTATTTATCAAACTCATACAACACGAAAATACTCTTAGATTTGAAATAGGAATACGAACGGATTTCGGTAGGCATTATCATTCTCGTACTCAATGCCTCTTTTGCCGATCTAATTTGCTTCCCTTGGCTACTCTGTGCCGCTCAAAGCGAATCAAAGGCAATTGACAGCCGCTGTCGTGGCGGGTTCATAAGTAGATTTATTCAGATATATTTTCATTGTTGAATTGATAGACTTGTTTCAATTGTACATACAATTCAACGTAAGTTCGTAAGAGGCATTGAATGGATGTGTGTATGAAGAAGAAACCAAATAAAAAATTACTTTTTGTTGGACCTCATATCGATTATAATATGTGGTCCGGGACTTCCCTATAGTAGAATACAATCTCACAGTTTTCTAGAGCCCCCCATTGCCATAAACAACTTATCCCATGGGCAATAAATTTGATCTTTTATTCTTCCACCTCCACCTCTTTCCGAACCAAACCGAACCGAACCGATTTGATTGTCTAAATGAAACGGCATGGCACTTGTTGTGACGTCAGAACTCAATGGAAAGAACGCTTCAAGTGAAACTTTTCAATTAAAATTTGACATTGCTGCGTCTCAGACGAATCTTTATTAATCATACGCCATGGGGTGCCATTATGAAGTTAGTGAAACTTCAACGGATAAATAAACATACAAAATGGAAAAATATTAAATTCAGGTCTGGACTTTGGCATTTTGTGTACTTTTCGAATTTGCCAATGTTAATTAACGAAAGAGTGTCAATTGTGCCCTAGCATGACACACATGTAGCATTATATATGTATGTGTATGTATGTATTATATGGTTAAATACCCACCATATTCAAATATTTATTCTTCACAAATTTTTACCACTGGAATGCAAACAAAGCTGCTACCAAACTTCAATTTTTTTGTCGCTTATAAAGTAAATATTTTTGATGCTATTCTTATATTCCACATTTCACATTGTGTATTGTTCATTTTAACACCTCGAAGGCGAGCGAGTGCTACCATTAGTTGCTAATTGTGGGTTAGACACATATGTATACAATATAAAAAAAATCGACGGGATATAAAAGTCGTTTGATATATGAATTTTCTGTATCTGTATAATTATGGTATATTTATTTGCTTATAAGATTTTTGAATCTGTAAATGGAAGTGTTTTTGTGTTTTTTCCAATCGTAATGTAACCAACTTTGTAATATAAAGCTTTCAATTGTTCAGCATTTCAAAGAGCAACGACTTTAACCAGCTTCAAGATTATATCTCTCCCAAATAATTCCTGGTAAACATTGACAGCTCTCCGAAATGTTGTCACACAGAGATCTACCACCTCTGTACGTGCTAAATGAGCATCATGTGATATACTTTGGCTCTCTGGTCGCTAATAGAACCGCCATATAGACAGAGCAAATAATTCCATACTACGCAGAAATACTCGTACTTGAGAGTAGTGCCACGGTCTAACGTCAACTCTAGATATAGATATATTTGCCTACATAATTACCAAAGTCAATCGGTTTAGAGCAGTTTGAAGTACCTCAAACACGATCAGAAATTCTAGTTCGGGATACCCGAAACCTTAAGTAATTCTTCATTTATTTGAGAAGAAGGACTGTTTCCGCCTAAATTTTATACCTTCTTTGTTGGGAAACATACAATACTATACGATAAAGAATTATAGCAGTTGCGGATATTTATAAAGTCATCTTCTGCCTGGTATTTAGATATATTTTCACCAATACGATATACCCTACTACGACTAGTTTTGGGTCTAATTACATAGCCTCTATCTGAGGCTGTGCTTTCCCGAGGCAATCAAGACCTACCTGGCGTCTGCTTATCAAGCCCTAAACGAGAGTCGCGCCGGATCCGCAGTGCGACGGAACTATCTGTATACCAGAGGGTTGACGGAGCCAAAAATAGACCAAATATATATGTAGCTCTCGGGCAGAGATGTGGAGTGGGAGTGGATTTATTTACCTACCAATTAACGGTTTTTCAGACTCGTCCACGTCACCGCTGCTGACAGCAATGAGACGGCAACGACGACAGCGATTGAGGCCACACCGAGCACGACCATGCGGATGCCCACCGGCTACAATCAGAGCTGCTTCAACTGGACCTCAGTGCCAGAGGCAGCGGGGGGCAACTGTTCCAGACTGACCCGGAGCGGACTCCTCAAATGCTATGGCGGCATGAACAACCTGGGGGCATTGGCGTAAGTATAAGATGGTTAGCATCTCGATGTTCATGAAATGACTCTCCCATCGACTCTTTTTTGACTAAAGGAAGCTGGGAAAGTCGCTGCCGGCCCAGCAAATGCTGCTGTGCGGCTGGCCTAAGGACACATCCAGGTTCCTGGGCGAGTTGCAAAAGCTGCCCAGGCTGCGAGTCCTGACCATCGAGTACAGTGGGTTCACGGAGTTCGCCTTCGAATTTCCCGAAATGTCCTATCTGCAGAGCATCAACATCTCGTGGACGAATCTCTCCTACATTTCGACACGCACCTTCAAGCGAGTGCACACTCTGAAGGTCCTGGATCTGCGCTGGAACCAGCTTATCCAGCTGGACGGTCCCCTGCTGCTCCCCCGCTCCTTTGAGCAGCTCTACCTGGCCGGAAATCCCTGGAACTGCACGCGAAATTTCAAGTGGATGCTACTGCAGCCGGAGAAGGGGCGTCTCGTGGTGGACCGAGATGAGCTCCTCTGCACCGATCGCAAGTACAAGGAGCGCCAGATGCTGCTGGTGATGCACTACAAATTGGTGAGCATTAGCGCCTCTGGACAATTCTTCTTAAGATCTAAGCCAATCTTTACTGATTCCATTAATGACACATAGGAGCTGAAGAAGGAGTGCCAATCGCATCCGGACCTGAGGAACTGCACCTGCCTGATGCACCACATCCTGCCCAGGACCCATATTCCGCTCTACACGGTCAATTGCTCCCACATGCAATTCCACAGCCTGCCCGCCTATCTGCCGGAGAACACAACCACGCTGACCATCAACGATAATCTGGTAAGGGATAAATGGTTGCGTCTGAATGACCACAGTCTAATCTCCTCCCCTTTCCAGATCAGCGACATAAATCCGCTACGGGATAATCCCCATTACCGCCATGTGGTGGATGTGCATCTGGAGAACAACCGCATCTCCAATGTGGACGACCTGGAGAACACGTTTTGGCTGCAGAACTTCCGCCTCTTCAACCTGCGTGGCAACAACCTGAGGAAGCTGCATGTCTACGCACTGGACAATGCGCTGAACGACAATGAGAACGCCAATCTGCTGTTGCTCAGCAAGAATCCGTGGCACTGCACCTGCAAGTTTGGGATGCGGCTGCGCGAGCTACTGAACCAGTACCGGGACATTGTGAGGGATGCCTGGAATGTGACGTGCACCTACATGCAGAACGACGAGCTGCGGCTGGCCAAGGTGCTGACCCTCACCCGCCAGGACATGTGCAACGTGAGTGCGGAGAGTGGCACGCAGATCCATCCCATCGACTGGCTGAACGGCGTGCTGGCCAGCCTCATCATCCTCATTCTGGGAAAGCTTGCCTACGACTATTATCACTACAAGTATTATAACCGTGTTCCTTGGATAGTCATGAAGATGCCGTGATAGCCTTAAATAGATATAGACATGTGTAGAGTTAGAAGTAGGTGCTTGAGTCATAGTTATAGTTACAGATACTTAGAAAAAGGCATCTCAAAGACCTCAAAGTATTTTCTCAAACAACGGTTTGAGCGGGTTTATTTTGAAAATCTACAAGTAGATTCGGATATCAATATGGGAGTATATAGTATATGTATTGTATATTGTGTATACATATATAAATAATCTTCTTTTTGGTATATATTTTATGTATGTATATTTAAGCTAAAATCAACGCAAAACTCACAAAATAGTTGTCCTGCTTCTATAGTATTGCACATTTCTTAGCAATCCTTAAGATGTACATTCCCTGGTTTTACATTCACTTTTAACATTCACATTCATATTCACATTCACATTCGATCTGCATTTTAATTGGCACAAAGCGCTTAAACTTCTGTTGGATAATAATACACGTAAGAGAAACGGCTAAGATTAGTTATTAGAACGCTACTAATTGGACAGAACCGAATCTGGTTAGGGTTTAAGCTACAAATAATTGAATCTAAATGAATCTATACCCCCCTTTATATTTACATTCGAAATACATTCTACATTCTTTGGCTTCAGAACCAGTGCAATCGATACTTTCCTCCCTGTCAAACCAAATGCACAACTAAAAACTAATTTAATAATGGAAATAATCATATCGTTTGCGAGGCGCTTATAAATTAAACAACAGTGCTGGACATTGTAAACAAAGCTTAAAATATTTCTTGTACTTTACATTTCAATAAAGTCAAAAGATGAAACAAATGCAAATGAATTCGCTGGCTGGAAGCTGCACTCCTCGCACGAGTGGAGTCTGGTTTTTAAAATTATTTTTGGTCCGACTCCAGGCACAAGCCGCTTGAATTGTGCATAGAAAAATGTGGTCAAAAGGAGATCAAGAGGACCCGTTTTTAAAATCGTTCAAAGAAATTTTCTTTTGTCTTGTAAAATTCATATAAAAAGTAAAACTTTTGCTTAAAATTGTTCACTTTATGATATGGACAGGATGGTAGATTATTCTCGGTTCTCCAAGCACAATTCAAGAGGCTTACAAAGGACGGTCAGGGACACTTAGGGATGGCAAAGTAAGTAACAGCGGATGGCATAAAGTTGGCATATTGTGTGGGCATTAGCCCAATTAACAATTTTTGTTTTTGGTTAAGCATGCGAGTATTCAATATGTATTCATATTGTACGGTTGGTTATCATATGAGCATTCATGTCAAGCCACGTCCTAGAATAGCATGTAGGAGTGGTCACGCTCCAGTTGCGCCTTGGCGCGGTTCTGTATGTTGCTTACTGGATCCGAGGGCGGTGGTATGCCGTTGATTTGGTGGGTCGGCTCCTTGTAGTAGAACTCTGTCCGTCCGCACTTGTGGCCATAGTAAACGGAATCCTGGGATCTATAAAATTCAAGGAATGCCAATGAGGAAATGAGATCTTTTAGATAGAATTCGTGATCCACTCACCGTAAAATCAAGTCCGTCAGCCCACCGTGCTTCCCATCGACATCAGCGGTATGCATGCTCTCGACAACTTTCAGCTCCAACGAATTCCACGGTCCACTGCGCTCTAGCACATCCCACTTGGCATCCACGCACATGAAGCTGTAGTTGCTGTAATCAGGCATATCGCCCTCCAGATTGACACTTAGTGTTTGACTTAATTGAGATTCCATGTGGGGAAATTTCGCCACGCAAATGTCAAACTAATCAAAAGGAAAGAGGAGATGCGTTAGGACTCGCTCCAATGAGAGTAGGAGGCATATGCAGCTCCACTCACCATCTTCTGGACAACGTCCTGCTTCTGCGAGGTCCCCTCCTCCATGAGCAGCAGCAACGTCATGTTCTTCTGTCCACAGGTATACAGTTCCGTACGCTGCATGCCATTCGCCAGGCTAGGAGCGGGATTCACCGGAACAATGGACAGTGCAGCAAAGGCGTCCATTGCGTCCTCACACTTCATAGAACTGCGGTATGGAAAGGCCATGCTGCTGGTCAGAGGCGTCAGGATCTCGATGGAAGGTGTCTCGCTGAGGGCCAACACTGAGAGTTTGGCCATGAGGGGAGTCAAGGGCACGGCACCAGCTCCACTCCGTCCGGCGCCTCGCTGAAGGGGAGCAGCTGCAGATGGCTCTCCGAAGCACAAATCTCCCGCTGGCTTGAGAGGGAGACTCATGGCGCTCTTTTCCATCGGCGACTTGACCAGTTGTCGGGATTCCAGATTGAGATTCGGATCGTCCGAACCTTCAGCCAGTGCCTGCTGACGCATGTGCTCGTCCAGCTTTTTGACTTCCTTGTTGAATTCTTGGAACTCGGCCACAAGAGCGGCCAGCTCGGCATCGTGGTGGGCTTGCGCACTGGCGACGCCCCACAGCTTGTAATACTGATCGAGAAACTGCTGGAACAGGTTGCGCGAGATCTGCTTGCCGTTGGCGATAAAGACCGGATATGTGGGGTCGTTGATGGTCCGGGCACTGCTATTCTCATCGTACTCCGAGTAGTCGGGCGAGGGCGAAGACAGCTCATCACTGCTGCTGCCACTGCCGTTGCCGCTCCCATTCCGGTTGACATCCGGTCTAAAGTTTGGTGTAAAGCTACGTATCTTTTTTGAGATGGCTCGCAGGGCGTCTTGCAGGTCAGCGGAGGACTTGCGGCGGGTAAACTGCTTGCTCGGATTGATAATAAAGTTCGAGAAGAACTTCTCGACATCCGCCTTCAGGGATTGACGGCGCGACTCTGCCTTCCCACTAAAGTTGGAGCCATCATTGACGACTGGCTCCTCCTCGGGATTGGCGCAGATAGACATCACAGTGGCCACCGGCAGGACCTTGTTCTCCGTCATGGGTGTGTTGCACACACTAGTGCGTCCAATATACTCGGGATACGAGTCGGTCTCGTCAAAGTTGATCGCCCCTGTGCTGGTTTCGGGCAGCTCCCTGCTGTGCATGTTCTTGTGCCGCAGTGGCAGGAACGTGGGCCTCATCGACTTGGGTCGGGCTGTTGGCATTGTCGCCAAAGGGTCCACCGGGGCCGCCTCGTCCTCGGGAATGTGTGTGAAGATCAGGGACTTGTCCCTCTTCAGCTTCCGCTTGGCACTCTGAAAGGGCATCCCGCTCTGTGTCTGCGACGTAATCATCAGCAGGTTCTGGGCCCGCTGTGCATCTGCAACCATTTGTCGATACTGCTTCTGATCCAAGTAGACAACCATCATCTGAACGCCATAGGGAACATGAAACTGTTGCGTTGTCAGCTGCTCTGCCGCGTTGCGGATGTGACGAGGATCGGTCAGGACCAGTTTCTTGGTCACCACGTCGCTCAGCTGCGAGGCCACCACCCTACAGAGGCGAGAAAACACAGATGGCATTAGCAACCAGACAAGAGTCGGTGTCCGACAGGGCGCCTTACTTGTTGTGATAGAGAATGACTCCGCCCAGAATGCCCTTTGTCTCCTGGCAACTTTGCAGCACCTGTATGGCCTCCAGGAAGATGTGACTGGCGGTCTGGAAATAGCCAGAGAATGAATAAATAGATACAACGTGCAAGTTCCGCACTCACCTTGGGCATGCGAAGTCTAGGAACGTTCTGGAATGTGTCTCCGTTGCGGTGCATCATGGGCAAATATGTCTCGAAGATCTGGTACAGTTTGTCGCACAGATTCCTGGTGTTCAGGGCTGGAGGCTGCGCGTACTGGTCGTACAGCGTCTGCAGGTCACGATGAAAGAACTTGAGCAAAGAGCTCAGCAGTTCCGCGCGATGTTCCAGGTTCTCATCACTAATATTCCGATCCGTTCCGACGGCCTGGAAGGGATAAAAACGAAATTAGGATCTTACTATCTTTTGTTTTTTGTTTTTCTCCACTCACCAGGGTGAAGCGTCCAAATTCCTTGAGCACAAACTTTCCATTCTGCAGGGCCAAGACACGGGGCTTGAAGAAGCAGTCCCTGAGGAAGTACGTTGTTCCCATCAGCTGTCCGCAGAGGGCCACCTTCTGGTAGTCGGATACCCAGCTGGGATGGAAGTAGAGCACCGCCTTAATCGGATCATCCGCCTCATCCTTAAGGCACTCGGTGTCGTAGACAAACAAAATCATTGTTTCCCTGTAGAAGAGATAGCAAAACAGAACGAAATGAATCGTCAGATGAAATTCACCTTTTATGAATCACTGTGGCACCTATCGGTTAAGCGCTTCTGTGGCTGCTGGTAGTGCCGCCAGCGCCTGTGGCCGTGGCTCAGCCTGTGCCTTCGCCAAACTTTAAACATTGTTGCTGCGTTGACAGCAATCTATTTCGGCAATTCCGAGACGAGACTAACGCTGCATCGTGGCAGCTTATCTACGCCTGCGTCGTCGCTGCTGCTGCTGCTGCCTTCTGCCGATTGATAAGTCAACAAGCCAATACCGCGGCAGAATGCCAACTGTCTGGCCTGGTCGGGTCCGTCGGTGCGCTGCCTGCTCCCTGATACCCGACTCGCAATTGTGATATGTGATAGGGGAGAGCTGAATAATGCTCACCATTCTGCTCACGTCTGTAGATGAGCGTAGCTGCTGCTGGAAGTATACCTAAAGGTGGAATGGCCCCAACCACACTGAGAACTGAGGTGAAAGCGTCAGTTTGTTTGTAAGTTTACTATCGCTGCGGTTGCGTTGGGGGTGGTGTGGAAAAGGTATGTACATGCATATGAATCGATCACGCGACAATTTCAATGCCAAATGTATCGCTTACAGCTTGAGGGGGGAGCAGGGGGAAAAAGAGCGAGAGTAGAGCTTTTAGAGAGCCTAACAGAATGAGAGACCGTTCAGCAGCTGATACAGCAGTTTGAGAACTATTAACAAGCAGTTTTAGAAGCTTCTACTATGACTAAAGTTTTAGAGCAACTGTCAATGCTCAGTGAAAAATGCAAGAGTAACGCAGAACAATCTGAAGTTATTTTCAGTTGGCTTTTGCTTAGCACTTTTATTTCAAATTATTCTTGAGATCGGTTTTTATCCGGCAGTTGATTTCAGAACACTGGGAGGAAGCCCCAAGGGAGGAGTCGTGGTCGTCCCGTATTTGTACTTGGCCACATAGCCATTGGGTCCAGCCTCATAAAGGACCTCCAAGCCGAGGCCCTGATCTGGAAACATTTGACTCAAAGAGCCCCTGACCTGAAACACTCCCGGAGCAATCTCCTCCACGGTCTCCTCACGAGTCGTCCGATCCGGATAATATATCCTGTGAGAATATAAGTCTCTTGAGTGTATTCTCTGGTGTTTATTTTTCATTATCTACCTCAAGGTGTACTTGTTATCCTCCGGCTCGAGCTGGAAATCTTCGGAGTCGATGCGCGGCACGAGCAGGGGAGCAGGCCGAGGCGCCGCGATTGCCCCATTCAGAAAAACTAGAATTACTAGCAGCTAAGTGAGTGATTAGCAAGATCTTTGAGAGGGAAGCGACTGTGTGGATGGCTCACCGAACTAAACAGCGTAGCAGACATGTCGGTGATGATGCTTCGCCCGTGGCTGGTTTCTTGAAACTGTTAAGCCCACGCTTAGGACATCATTTATTTTAACAAAAACTGGCTTGAACGCGCTAACTAAACCTGAACAAAGGCCAGACTCTAATACTATACACCGGCCAGAGATCAGAATTGGATGCCTATTATAAATGCTGTTTTGTTTTGAAAAGAGAACACTTGTTAATTCTTTTATGAAACCTATAGACAAATTGGTTTCTGGAGGGTTTTATTTTTAAGTAGCCGCTAGCCAGCTGTTGATTTCAAGGCATTGGGACTGAGGAATTGTGGCAGCTGGGTCGGCGGTGTGGGCGGGCCCTTGCCATAAGTATATTTGGCCACGTAACCATTGGCACCTGCCTGGTAGGTGACCACCAGCGAAGTGCCGTGCTCTTCGAATGGCTGGTTAATCACACCCTGGACTTGCAGCTGCCCCGGAGCAATCTCCTTCACAGACTCCTGGCGGATAGTGCCATCCGGGTGCTGGATGCTATGGAAGCCAGGAAAAATGGATGGGATGGATCAATCATCATCAATTATCGACCAATTAGTGGTACCTGAGGTAGTATGTGTTATCGAGGGGCTCGAGCTGGAAACCGGGAATGCGTATTTGCGGCACTAGTGTTGGGGGCGCCGATGCCGCCAGGTGCAATAGGAGCATCACAAAGAGCTACGGAAAATATGTGAGTCAGCGCAAAGCGGATCTTGGCGACTTATTTGGTCTTACTCACTGCGCATAATCTACGAGACATGATGGCCTATCTATGGTTGACTATAAACTGTCTAGCCGTCGACCCTCAACCCATCTTTAAGCCCAAAATCACAGCCGGTATAATTAAGAGGGAAACAAGTTTTGATTTTGAATGCAGATAGAAAAAAATCACACCGCACACTTATCCACCTACAAAAAGGTAGAGTCGTGAATGGATGGATTCCCATGCTATTAGGGGTTACAATTTGTTAAATAAGATAACAATCAATCGAGTAAATCGAATAAAACCAGTTACGACCATTTGCTAGCCTTCGATATGACAATTCACTTTATTCAAACCAATTTGCAACATCATCTAAGTACGAGTACTCCGCCAAAAAGCTTGAGTCACGGTAGATTCCACCGTTTATCAAAGGGAATTCCCAGCATATTCCATATACTGTATGTTTGTACGTGTGACAGTCAAAAGGGGGAATTTCGAGAATCTTTTACGTTTCCAGGGCTTTGACCAGAGATAGATTATCCCTCAAATTATAAACAAATAAAAAGTGCATTCATTTCAATGGGAAAATATGCCGTCTGAGTCCTTGACATTCAACAATACACATTTTACCTGTATCTTATCAATATCGATTAGTTTTCTCGGCTTGTTGGGGCCTTCCTACGGCATTTGTGTATGCGCATGCCGGGGCGTGGGTGTGTGTAGGCGGTAGCTCAAAACAAACACTAAAATGCCACCACATACACAAAAAAGCCGCCCACACACAGATACACCCACGCAGGTAAAGTTTTTCATTTGGCTTGCAATTTTCCTTATTCATTTACTCACTTAGAGCCCATTTCGAATTGCACTTGCCGTCCTCGGTGTTTGGTTTAATTTTAATATATTTTTACTTGATTTTATCCATGTTCACTTTTATTTTATTTTGCGCCTTGCCTTGCAGGTGCATTCCAGTCAGTGTGACCTTATCGTTAAAATATACCGTCCGACCCTCAGAAATATACCGTCTCATTTTAAAAATATACCGTAAATATGCTGACGAATTCAAGTTCCATTATGCATTTTCCTCGATTTTGATATTCCGTGCAATATTAATAGCTAGATACACTTCTCAGCCCTGTCCACTTAATTTTATCCGATTACTGAATCAATTTTCTACCTGACTGGCTTATTTTAACCACTTGCTTTTATTGGATCTTGTCTGAAGGAAGGTTTTAGCGAAATAGGTCACACAAAAAAAACGAAAGAGGATAGTTGTTTATATTATTAAATTTTTATTTCCGTTGAATAATTCTGGCTAACTAAAACCCTTTGTTCTGCCCACACAATTTTAGGCCATTGATGAATCAATTTTCTACAAGATTGGCTAGTTTTTAGTCCTTGCTTTTATTGTATTTGACTAAAACAAGGCATAAACAAAATAGTTCACCAAAGTTACAGTCGCAATGTTCTCACGTAAAGATTTTTTGGTATTTGCAGAATGGTTGCTAGCACCACCAACCATACAGTATATACTGTATGGTTAGTGTTGCTAGTCAACCGGAGTATGCCCATTTGTATATCGTATTTTGTTTATATTTCTAAACTGTTTTGAAGAGTAATTAGGCATATCTTGTTCACAGATTGAAATATTGTTACATACTCATACATTTCATTTGTATATATATCGCGATCTCGATCTCCCTGTATCATTTATTCCACTGGATTTAATTCATATCCGTGTCCCTTAATCACTTTCCATTGGAAAGTTTCCAACAATTCCACTTTGGCGCGCAGCTCTATCAGCTATCAGCAATTTGTTAGACATGGACTTTCAACGCTACATTTTGAAAATGAGACGGTATATTTCGGTATGTTTCTGAGGGTCAGTGTGCTAGTGTTGCCATTTTTGTGCATAAAATCATATCTTTACTTTAATTAAAAATTAAAAAATATATATCAATAAAATTCATTTATCCATTATTTTGATGTGTTTGTATGGTTAGCTTTTTTTAATTTATAGTTTTTTCTAGCTTATTTTTTTCTTCAATCTAGCTTATCGTGACTCTCAAAATCTGGCAACACTGCCGTGCACTGGTCGTTAAATCCACGGTCACACCATTTTAAAAATGGCCGTCAGAGTGTGAAGTGTATACATTTTTTCGTGTTCCGTGTTTTCGCTTAATTTGACCATTTATTTAAATGTTTTTGTGAATTTTGGTGAGTTAAAAGGCTTCACAAATGCCTTTCAAATGCGTGTAGTGAAAAGAAGGTACAAATTTAGTGGGAAGATGGCTAGGAAAAGTGTTTAAAGCAGGCGATATACAAATCAAACCTAATCCCAACCCCCGCACAGCGTCCCGTCCTGTTCGTACACACCCAGAGAGACGCAAAGGCATATAAAAGCAACAAACAGGTTTTTATTGTGTACAGACGTGTGTTTTTTCCTCCTCTCTATAATTTATGCGCATGCAACAACAACGCATACACATATAAACAAAACCCAACATGAAGCTGAAGCTGAAGCAAGCATAAAAAACAAGTAATACAAGAAAATAAATCGTAGTGGTGTGCATGTGCATGTGCATGTGTGCGTGTGCGTGAGTATGCTGTTTCGTGTGTGAGTAAACGCTGTAAACAGCAGCAACAGCAACCAAAGTGGTAAAGTGGTAAAGTCGGTGGCTTGCTCGACTCGCTTTACTCGCTTGGCCAAGAAGTGACGCGACGACTCTATGCTACGCTCTTATAGCTACAGGTGAATTGGACTTGTTTTCCGAGGCGCTGTTCTTTGCTTCGCTTCGAGGCGGTGGCCAGCAATTATGGCAAAGTGTGTGTTTGTGCCTGTGTTTGTGTGTCTAAGCTAAGAACTGTAAAACGAGTTTGATGTCCAAAAAAATCTAATAAATTAACAGCATAATCAATTTATAGTGCGCCGCAGCGACACATTGACAACTGTAAAACTGTAAAAAGGTGGCCAAGCCAAGCCAACGGTAAAGCAGCAGCACCCAGTCTCCATCTCTCTCCCCCTATTTCTATCTCGCTCTCTCTCTCTCTCCAAGTGCGTTGCAAGTCAAGTGTCAAAACCCAAAGTGGAAGTGGAACGCGTCCCACTTAACCCCACAGTGCAAGCTGTCCAAATTGTTTGCTGTTTGATTAGGAGAGGAGAGAGAAGCGAATGCAAAGAAGAATTGTGACACCACTGGAAACTTGGGGCTCCGCTCCCACGTTCCATGTTCCATCGATATTGATTGTTCGTTTGTTCGAACGATGTTTTGTGAATGAAAAACTTGTCGCGCCATATTCGTTCCGCTCGTTTAACGCCCGTGTTTTTGTACTCCAAATGCTATAATGTGTAAAGTTTTAGCTGAATCATCTACATCTAGCTGCCATCGCATTGGACCGCATTTGTCCAACAAACTGGTTCTCCACCTCATGATTCATCTCAAAGTTTTGGAAAACATCGGAAGTCCGGTGATAATGCGCCTCGCTAGTTCTTTATGTACTCGTATTTCGATAAGTGGAAATCGAGGAAAAGTCAGTGCAACGAACCAACAATAGCCGCGATAAGAAAACAACAGCAGTACAAATATTATATTCAAGTAAAGTATGTACATAATTCCACAATTGATTGTTAACCAGTGTATGCATTATGCATTACATCAGAGACAAGAGTCCAAAAGCTACAGCCAGACAGCTAGCCAGCTTGACTCCATAAGGCAACATCCACTTGAGTCCACTCGAGTCCACCTGTTGCCCCTTGTTTCGTCTTAATGAAAACGCCCACGGACCTGCGACTTGCTACTAGACCGAAACTGGTTGCTTGTTTCTCGAGTGCCAGTGTGGAGCTCACGTTTGTCGTTCGTCGTTTGTCTGCTGTGGGCGATGGGTATACGCTATACGCCATATCTAATAATTACACGCTAAAATCAATTTCCCATTGATCACGTACGAGTACGAGTATTCTGTAAAAAGACAGTTTCAGAGTTTGTTTTTTTACTGTATATAGTTTGCTACTCTCGTACTTTCCACACGTACCTTCCCACACACGCAGACTCAGACGACACCCCGGGAAGAGATAGTTGCAGCCCAGACAGAGGCATACAGAGAATCATCACAAACAAATGTCAAACGTGACACACTTTTCACCATTATCTTGATGGAAGAAGCTGTTATCTCTTCCCTAACCATCGTCTATTCAAAACTGCTGCTTATCAGTCGAGAGAGACCTGGCTTAGGCACACAAATACTACTCGTATATTTGTATGTACATACTCATATACGAAACCCGATCTCGAATTCGAGTTCCAGTAATTAATGCCAGACTGCCAGACGACCAGTTGGGCCATAATTGTATTTATATTTGTATTTTTATGGGCCGCCAGAAGCGGAACGGACTTCCTGGCATTGAACCGAATGCGGCTTTTGAAATATGAGAACCCCCCAACTAAAAAACAAAAAATAAAATGATAAACTACGAAAATATGACCATTTTTGACTAAACCGCAGCTTGGATACCCTTGTAATTAAGCTCATGCTCATAAGATATACCCTTATAAAGAGCATTTCAGACTCTGTCAAGTAGGCCTCTTAATGATTAGCCGTATATAACACGGAACTGCCATAGTACCATCATAGTTTTATAGCAGGTTTCGGTGATAAATCCTCCTTGAAGATAATCATATGTAGAGCCGTAAAGTTCTTCCAAATATGAAACCAAGTGAAGCTACCAGATCGCATAGGTGACATCCAAAACGATCCAAGCAACTGGCTTTGCCGGAAAACAGCCAAAACTTGAGTGGAAGCCATACGACTGATCGAATCGAGTGCTCGCTGAAGTTTGAGCATAACGATTATACGTTTTATTTCTTGTCTGATTTATTTCTGCCAAATGTCTTTTAGCTGGAGAGAGTACACTCCCGGGGCCGGGCAGTCCCATTCGTTTTTGACCACCAACAGATCGTGGATTTCTCTCTCACCTCTCACTAAGCCACAGAGCTGAATGATAAATTGACCAGCTCAAGAGGGTATTCAAATGTAATTTATAATGTTTATCATGCACTTTTATGGTGTGTTTTGTACGTGTTCTAAAGGCCAACGATGCGAGGCAAAGGCAACAGCCAACCCCCATAATTCGAAGACATTAAGCGACGGTGGCCCAGAGATGGGCCAAGAGTCGCGGTGGGTCACTTGACCTGTGACTGAGTGGCGGTGGCTGAGCCGTGAAAAGCCTTCGCTTGGGAAAGACGATACCAAGACGAAGACCCGTCCGTCCATTTACCAAAACACGAAACAACAAGTAGTTGTTGCTGCCGGTGCTGCTGCTGCTGGTGGTGGTGGTGGTGGCGACCTTCAATTGGCCAATAAAGCAATTTATCGAAGATCTGTCAGGTAAAAGTTGTCCAACTGTAACCGACCCGGACCGCCGATGGGTGCGTGAGAAACTATAACATTCGTTCGTGTTCATCTAAATGGTGAAAAGATAACCCGAAGACACACATGTGCACATGGAAATGGAAATTACGTGTGTGTGTGAATGAGAAAAAACACACCTATCCTATCGTATCCTATACTATCCCGTGGATGTTCGCTGTTCGTCACAGAGGAGGGAAGAGCCAGGGGGGAATGTACGTGGCACGTCCTGTAGATGCCATCATTGTAACGCCGGTGAGCGCTGATTAGAAGGGAAATTGGCGGAAAATACCGAACGTGATTCCCCACAAAACCCAGTGGTTTTCCTTGCTGTGAGTCATAGGGAAAGACGGCACAGCACAGCCAGACAGCCAGGAGCAGGAGAGAGCAGTCACGATATACTTCGATTCGTACGTAGTTTTGTACCTACAAGC